AGAGACGAGTCGTAGAGGCTAGACCAGCATGGGAGAATTGAACAGAGGCAGTTGCTGTCAGTGTGCATGTGTTGCACTCTTTCTCCGAGTTGTAAAAGCAAGCAGAGCAGAAACTGGCTACTATTTAGTTGACTGATGTAGCTGGCAAGGTAACTGCTGTTTGACTTAACAGAAAATAAAATGTAACGTTAGCTAATGTTTCATCCCCGCTCGACTGAGGTTAATTAGCTAGCTAGTAGCTACCACAGTCAGTTCAGCTCTAGCTATCTGTCAGATAGGGCAATAATAGCCACCTCATATCGCTATCTAACAGCTGTTGTGTGTATGGAAATGTTTTGTAGCCTTTGTTTTGTCCCATTTCAAAATAAGTAAAGGAACCTGGCTAGTTTTCACCTGTTGATGTACCGTTAGAGATAGCCTCTATGAATCCGAGAGTGGAAGACTCCTCTCTCGTCTCTAACATGTAGGATCACTTTTTGTGAACAGTCCCATCACAAGTCAGACTACTGAATAATCTTAATTTGAATGTACTTTACCTGTTGTACGCTGATTTTGTCCTTATGTAGGAGGTAATCTGAGCACAGGAGGTTGGTGGCACCTTAATTGGGAAGAACGGGCTCGTGTTTATGACTGGAGCAGAATCAGTGGAATGGTATCAAATACACCAAACAGAGGGTTTCCAGGTGTTTGATGCTATTCTATTTGCTCCGTTCCGGCCATTATTATGAGCTGTCCTCCCCTCAGCAGCCTCCTGTGAGTTGTGATAGAAAGACCAGCGTACTGAAAGTCGGGTTAATAACACTACTCAACTACCCCACCTGTGAGTAGTATTATTAACCCGACTTTCAGTACGCTGGTCTTTATATTGGTTTGTATTTCCTTTTTTTCCGGTATTTTCAATGCTGATCTCCACTTCTTACCGCCAAAAGGACCAACAACACGGACAACTGGTAAATTCTGTTTAAATATCATTTATAGACTATTGTGTATTTTTTACAGCGACTTCTTTCAGACTGATATTCATGGAATGAGGTGAATTTTTGCAGATACAGTGGGGAAAAAAAGTATTTAGTCAGCCACCAATTGTGCAAGTTCTCCCACTTAAAAAGATGAGGGAGGCCTGTAATTTTCATCATAGGTACACGTCAAATATGACAGACAAAATGAGAAAGAAAAATCCAGAAAATCACATTGTAGGATTTTTTATGAATTTATTTGCATATTATGGTGGAAAATAAGTATTTGGTCAATAACAAAAGTTTCTCAATACTTTGATATATACCCTTTGTTGGCAATGACACAGGTCAAACGTTTTCTGTAAGTCTTCACAAGGTTTTCACACACTGTTGCTGGTATTTTTGCCCATTCCTCCATGCAGATCTCCTCTAGAGCAGTGACGTTTTGGGGCTGTCGCTGGGCAACACGGACTTTCAACTCCCTCCAAAGATTTTCTATGGGGTTGAGATCTGGAGACTGGCTAGACCACTCCAGGACCTTGAAATGCTTCTTACGAAGCCACTCCTTCGTTGCCCGGGTGGTGTGTTTGGGATCATTGTCCTGCTGAAAGACCCAGCCACGTTTCATCTTCAATGCCCTTGCTGATGGAAGGAGGTTTTCACTCAAAATCTCACTATACATGGCCCCATTCATTCTTTCCTTTACACGGATCAGTCGTCCTGGTCCCTTTGCAGAAAAACAGCCCCAAAGCATGATGTTTCCACCCCCATGCTTCACAGTAGGTATGGTGTTCTTTGGATGCAACTCAGCATTCTTTGTCCTCCAAACACGAGGAGTTGAGTTTTTACCAAAAAGTTATATTTTGGTTTCATCTGACCATATAACATTCTCCCAATCCTCTTCTGGATCATCCAAATGCACTCTAGCAAACTTCAGACGGGCCTGGACATGTACTGGCTTAAGCAGGGGGACACGTCTGCACTGCAGGATTTGAGTCCCTGGCGGCGTAGTGTGTTACTGATGGTAGGCTTTGTTACTTTGGTCCCAGCTCTGTGCAGGTCATTCACTAGGTCCCCCCGTGTGGTTCTGGGATTTTTGCTCACCGTTCTTGTGATCATTTTGACCCCACGGGGTGAGATCTTGCGTGGAGCCCCAGATTGAGGGAGATTATCAGTGGTCTTGTATGTCTTCCATTTCCTAATAATTGCTCCCACAGTTGATTTCTTCAAACCAAGCTGCTTACCTATTGCAGATTCAGTCTTCCCAGCCTGGTGCAGGTCTACAATTTTGTTTCTGGTGTCCTTTGACAGCTCTTTGGTCTTGGCCATAGTGGAGTTTGGAGTGTGACTGTTTGAGGTTGTGGACAGGTGTCTTTTATACTGATAACAAGTTCAAACAGGTGCCATTCATACAGGTAACGAGTGGAGGACAGAGGAGCCTCTTAAAGAAGAAGTTACAGGTCTGTGAGAGCCAGAAATCTTGCTTGTTTGTAGGTGACCAAATACTTATTTTCCACCATAATTTGCAAATAAATTCATAAAAAATCCTACAATGTGAAAATCTGGATTTTTTTCTCCTCATTTTGTCTGTCATAGTTGATGTGTACCTATGATGAAAATTACAGGCCTCTCTCATCTTTTTAAGTGGGAGAACTTGCACAATTGGTGGCTGACTAAATACTTTTTTTCCCCACTGTACAATACTTTATTCTCTATGTGCAGCAAACACTGGACAAGCCAGAAACTTCAAAGATTTAAACTACTTTAAGGAAGTCTGACAAACCTCCAAAGTAGATTTCCAAACTGCATCAAGGGTTGACAGAGGCTTTTCCCAATGACACAAAACATGTAAAAGAAAAATGTGAGAAAGACCTGGGAGAAGCTATTGATGATGATGAATGGATACAGCTATGTTTGAATGCCCAGTCATGTATATAATGTATAATCTCAGACATAAATGACTGCAGTTTAAGACCATCCATAGAACATACTATGTGCCAGTGAAACTGAATAACATGCACTCAGAAATGTAATTCCTCTGTTGGAGGTGTAAAACACAAAAGGGGACATATTTGCATATGTTATGGTCTTGTGAAGGCTGTCTGAATTCTGGCAAAGAGTATGTTCTTTTATATCAGCATGTCTACAGATTCTCCTCATTTTTGTTTGCTTGGAAATGTTGATACTGGAGACTGTTATCAGAAGAAACTGTGTAACCTAGCATCTATAGCGGCTAAGAAATGCATTGCCATTCATTGTAAGGTTGGTTATCCTCCCACAATGTCACAATGGATGGCAGAAATGTCAAGTTATTTATCACTAGATTTGATTTATTACAAGATTATGTGTATACTGGGCAACTTTCATAAGGTCTGGATGCCATATAGGGAATTCGACAAAAGGAGTCTGTATTGAAAACATGCCCACATCAGGGGAGATACCTATTTAAGCAATCCCTAGCTGATGGGCTGCTCAGTCCTGGCCCTGGGGGTCTGCCGTCCTGTGGGTTGTCACTCTGGCCTTGGCCTAACACACCGGAGGCTGAAACCAATAATGAATGTTTCACTAAGACCCTCAAGCTGAGTGGGGTGTGTTGGGTTGGAGGCTGCAGGGTGGTGGACCCCTAGGGGCAGGACAGGGCGACCCAGCTATATTGTGTGCAAGTAAAAACAGCTCTACAGTACTATTAGGCCTATGAGATTAATTATATGGAGGATGTGCTGTTTCTGTGTGTTAATATATATGTGTAGGTGGAGTTTTTTTGTGTGTTTTTTGTTTCCAAACCTGTTTTTTGTTTGTTTTTTTAAGGTGGGAAGGTAGTTGTGTTGGGGAGAGAGTTGATTTATTGACTAGACTGGTGGGGGTCGGGCGTGCAGGTGGCTCAGGCTGGCTGGGCGGTCTGGATGAAATTTGATATAGAGGATGTCTTGATAACGACAATCAAAAGTTAAGTCTTTGTACTTTATTTTTTAAAGAGTTGTTCATTTGTTAGGCTATTGGTTAAAGGTGCAACACAATACTGATTATTGAATTACCTTTGATCTAGTTCAGTCTTTTCAATCACTTAAACATATTTAATAATGGTCTCTTACCTAGCTTGATGACCGTGGGCATTTTTGCTTACTTTTTGTTGTTCTAAATAGAGATGGCTAGAAGGGCCATGCGTCATATTATATAGATTGTGTAGACATGCAGGAAATTTGTTTTAGATCCCAAAACAAATTGTGGGGAAGGACTCCAAGACCTCCCCACCAGGTTATGCCCCCCCACTTCTAAAACCAAAGTTGTGCCCCTGCTGCTCACAGCTAATTACAGCTGTTTCCTGATTGCTGTTTCCCCTCTCTGTCACAGTGTGGTTTGTGCCATTATGGCCCAAGGCTTTGAAGGTCACTGATAATTGGCCTCTTTTATCATGTTCGTCAGGGGCCGTCAAGTGTCAGAAGTAAATCCCAGGGACCAGGGAGGAGAGGGCAGTGCGTGACATGTCACAATGTTTTGTTTTGAGTGAGATACCTCTCTTGTAGTCTCCATCACCCTGGAGTCACAGTAACTACACAGCTCACACACACACATTACTGGCCTTTACATAACATAATTGGTGGTACCATTATATATATTTTTTAAACATAGTATTGCAGGGAAAGATTAATCATATTTCCCCACACAAACATGCATTACAGAAAGATGCAGTCTTGTGGCCTGGCACAGAATATGTAAGGTCTCCTCTTTGCGCTACTTCTACTTTACTAGTTCATGACCTGCAGCTCCCTCTACTGGTAGAGCTTCCTCCAGTATGATCCAGCTCAAAACAAGGACATGGAAAAATGTAGCTAGCTAGATGCACAGTTTCAATCACCGTTACACTTTGTAATTAGAATTGGCTAGTTATGGTAAAGAAACTTGATTAGGCGTGAAATCTCTTATTTAGAAACTGCTATTATCAAAATACTTAGAATAAGTAACGTACACAGCGGAGCGGCGGCAGGTGTCACAAACGGAAGAAGTCCATGTAACGTTAGCTAAAGTATCGCGTGACCGCAAAAACGAAACGAAAGTTTACCGATTTGCTTTGTTCTGTGGCTACTTGCTAAATATTGTGAATCATCTCTTTATTTACTGCATCGATTTCATAAAATGGATATAATTTGCTCGCTTTGTTTTAGTAACGTTAGATAGCTATCGGACCATCAGACTCAAATGAGTGCTTCCAGCTGGTTCGCTGGCTAGGTGCTAGCTAAATGGCTAGCTAACTTGAGAAGTTGACAGAGATGGAGGATGTAATTTCGCTCAGCTCGGGGAGCGGAGAGGACTCGGATGTTGAAGTTGTAGGTGTTTACAATGACACCGAGAACAAGGCCGAGGCAAGACCATTTATCAGAGGAGGATGGGTCAATCTGGCTGCCTACACACCGGTAAGTGTTCCCCGTGAAGTTGCAAGGGCTACCAGGAGGCTACAACAGGGGAGGTATGTTTGACACATGGCATGTGTGGAAACACAAGAGTAGGTAGTTTGCAGGCCCAAATTATGTCGTTGTTTAGAACATTTTTGTTGGCACTGACAGTTAGCTAATTAGCTGCAAATTATAGTTAATGTAATGCAAAACTAGTTGAGGGCGGGGCGCGTGCCATACACTGTCGATACTGTTACTGTCATTGGTTGATCCACTTCACTCACTCACTAACTCCTCAGGTGCAGTTTGGGATTTACCGAAATCGTTGACCCGACCTAACTTTTCTTATAAAATTGGGAAAATTATAACTACATTTTTGTTGAAGATATTCAATGTGGTGTAGCCACTGGACCACTTGACTTGACCACGTTTACCTGGTAATAGTTTGAGAGTAGACCAAATCTTTGTACAGCTAGCTAGCTAGGAAGCTAGCCGTTATAACGACGTGACTGGTCAAGCCAGAGATAATGTTTTTGTTTTTTTAATGATATTGTCAATATTAAATAATGTCGTCTGCAGTCGATGGCATACATATTCAGCGACCTTAGATCAGTCAATGCAAATTTATGCAAACACTTAAATGTAATATACTTTATGTTGATATTACCTCATAGTAATTAGAATCTCATTCTAGTTCTGTGGTTCACCTGTCTCTTTCAGTTTGTGATTGACATTACTGGTCGGAGGTGGGCTCTAACACCACCAAGGAGGCGCAGGAGGAGGGACCCAGGTGGGCCTGTAGAAGTGGTGGACTTGAGTGACAACAACCTCTCTGATCACTCGGATCCAGGGCCGGTGAGTCCACTACCTCAGGGAGAGAAAAAGACTGAGGGACTTTCAAAACACGAAGGACCACATACCATAAGTCCATGTTCTCTGTCCTGCTCCCCAACTGAACAAGAGTTGGAGAACAAAGCTGTTTTAAAAGCAGAAGAAAGTGACATCCTTGAGTCCAATCAGAGTTCTCTCAGGGATTCTTCTTCAACTGGACCACCAGATGTCAAGAACGCTGTGAAAAGCTCAGACGCAGACAATCCAAAATGTCCTGTCAAATCACCAAGTGTGCCTAAATCTGAACCGCCTGCAGAGGAGGCAGGAGCCTCAGGGTCTTCCTCTTACCATATAACTTGGGAGTCACAACAGTGCTCGGGTATAACTTCTCAACCACTGTGTGAAGGGAAAGAAGAGCCAGAATGCCTCAAGTCCAAGACCCAAACCTCTATAACCATTCCAAATAAAGCTCAGACAAGCTGCACTGGAAAAGTAGAAAAGCATGCATTCGAAGAGCAGGAAATAGAATCTATGTTTACAACGGACAAACCTCTTCTCGTAGAGGAAAGGGAAGAACCAGGGTCCCCACAATCACTACTTGATGCTACTCTCTCCCTCTCCCCCCAAAGCCTAGACAGCCCCTATTACGTCCCTGATGATGTAGACCCGGACCCTTTCAGGTTCTCAGAGGATTGGGGTGCACATGAAACGCAGCACAACGACACCTGTTATTCCCCTACACACATCCCCTTTGAGAGTTCTCTCTCTCCACCTCTACCTGATGATCAGACAGTGTGTCTCAACCAGAGTGACCCAGATAACTACCCCACCAGTACACACAGTCTCAAACAGGATCCAGTCTACCCCTATACCTCCCCTACCAATGGCACCGGATCAGCGCTGTTGGTGGAAATAAATCAACTTGAGGCCTTACACCGCACCAACTCCAGGCCCTGCTCTCCTTCCATAGAACCAGACCAGCAGGCTCCCCCCCTCCCTCCACAGCTAACCACTGGATCTACCTCCCCTGGCCCCTGCATGGGAGGAACTCATAGCAATAATGAGAGCCAGCCCAACCGGACCCCCAGCCCTACGTCCACAGTCATCCTAGCTGGGGAGTCCCCAGACTGGCCTGTGGATGAGACTGAGGCGGACCTGGTTATGGATAGCCCCCCGTACATGTGTAGTAGTATCCCCAGTGACCCTCCCATGTTTTTGCAGTCTGAGGACATGGATGTGGAGGCAGGGCCCAGATCTCCTGAGACCAGCCAGGCTGGTTTGGGGGCTGAGGGCTTGATGACTATTGCATGGAGGGATGGCAGTGAAGGAGAGGAGATGGGTGGAGAGAGAGGAGGTGGTGAGGATGACATGGAGGTCAGCAGAGAGGACAGGCGCTATGTGTGTCCAATCCAGCTCAGGAAACTGAGGCAGCTGATGGCTGGACCTGTTCAGGACCTGGTAAGTAGGTGAGACATGTTCCCCTCTTCTATGTGGTTTCTCTCTCTTTCTCTCATGTTGTTTCTCTCTCTCCTTCTCCAGGAGGATGAGGAAGAGGAGGACAATGGTTTCGGCGACCCGGAGCCTCTGTGCAGACAGAGCCTGAGCCTGGTGTACAGCACCATGGAGGAGAACTACCCAGAGGGTACCCTGCAGCTGCTGTCTGACCTGCTGCAGCCCCGCTTCTTCCCCCCCATCGACATCACCACCCACCTCCTCAGAGGCATCCTGCTGGACCCCCAGTGTCCCAACTTTCTCTGTCTGGAAGCTTACACTCTCCTCATGAGGACCCAGAGGCACAATCACACCGATCAGACCACTATCCCATGGGACTGGGAGCTGCTGACGTCAGTCATGGATGCTGAACAGGTAAGGAGAGTGACAGGCCTCTCTCAGCACCTGAACAATTGATTATGATTATACACCCAGTTGTTATTAGAGCAGTGAGAGAATCAACGTTTCCACAAGCATCAGGGTTACAGGGGCATTATGCTTTCACTAGGATAACCATTAAACCCCTACAACTCATCCAGAATGCCGCAGCCCATCTGGTGTTCAACCTTCCCAAGTTCTCTCACGTCACCCCGCTCCTCCGCACACTCCACTGGCTTCCAGTTGAAGCTCGCATCTGTTACAAGACCATGGTGCTTGCCTATGGAGCTGTGAGGGGAATGGCACCTCCGTACCTTCAGGCTCTGATCAGTCCCTACACCCAAACGAGGGCATTGCGTTCATCCACCTCTGGCCTGCTGGCTCCCCTTCCTCTGCGGAAGCATAGTTCCCGCTCAGCCCAGTCAAAACTGTTCGCTGCTCTGGCACCCCAATGGTGGAACAAGCTCCCTCACGACGCCAGGACAGCGGAGTCACTCACCACCTTCCGGAGACATTTGAAACCCCACCTCTTTAAGGAATACCTGGGATAGGATAAAGTAATCCTTCTACCCCCCCCCCCCCCAAAAAATAAATAAATAATAATAAATAAAAACAATTGTAAAGTGGTTATCCCACTGGCTATAAGGTGAATGCACCAATTTGTAAGTCGCTCTGGATAAGAGCGTCTGCTAAATGACGTAAATGTAATAACTGACCACATGCCCTTCCTCTCCATTCTCCTCTTCCTTAGAGCCGTGGTAGGAGGCTCTGCTGTGAGGTGGTGCGTATGCTGCTGCAGTACGTCGTCCAGACCATGGAGGATGACTTCCGGGTCAAACTCTCCTTCCGTGATCTCCACCATTCCATCGCCAAGGCAACCCTGTCATGTGATGTACGGTTCACCCAGGTCAGGTGAGCATTGTGTGTCCAGGAGAATGAAAAAAATATATATATTTGTCTCAATAAGTTCCTGAAAAACGAGATGGAGGTGCGTTATGTTGAGGTTTGTATGACAATGAATTAGTGTTTAATTGTTTTGTTAATCTTTTCCCTCCCTTCCATCAGAGATGTTATCAATTGGCTCTTTGCTGCTATTGTGAAATCAACAGGGGACAAAGACAACATGTCTGCTGTCATCGAGGTGAAAACACAGAAGGAAAAAGATGAACATCTAAAGTGAGTTAAAAATTACATCTGCATACAACATTCCACACCCCTTAACTCGTTGTTTTGAGACTGAAAATATAGCACCCCATCCGTCATATCAGATCAGTTTGAAGGATACAGAATAGAAACAGAGTACACACAGCCAATATGTGTGTGTGTGTGTGTCCTCTGCCTTGTTGTGTGTCAGAATGGTGTTCCTCCTCCAGAAGATGCTGTCCTTGGCCTTGGAGGTGGATCGCTCCCCAGCTCTCAACTCCAGCAAACTCTCCGGGGAACTCTTCCACATGCTTATCAGCACTGTCTGTCTGAGACAACACAGGTCAGGGATGGAGGAAGGGAGGGGGGGGTGGGTGTAGTTTGGAGGATGGAGGGGATGTTGAGATGGATGGAAGTGTCAGGAGGACTATGCTTGCTGTGTAGAGACAGACGGCATCAACGCTTCACCTCTCCTCTCTTGCCCAGGCTGCTGTTGCTGGAGACCCTGGAGAGCAGACTACTGAGGTGTAAGCTGATAGAGCACCTGCTGCACCATGCAAGTCCACAGAAGACCCCTCTGCCCATGTCTCTGAGTCTGCTGCTACACTTCCTACACAACGCCACCCTCCCACCTGACCCTACGGTGAGTACTAGCACTGCACAACACCACCCTCCCACCTGACCCTACGGTGAGTACTAGCACTGCACAACACCACCCTCCCACCTGACCCTACGGTGAGTACTAGCACTGCACAACACCACCCTCCCACCTGACCCTACGGTGAGTACTAGCACTGCACAACACCACCCTCCCACCTGACCCTACGGTGAGTACTAGCGCTAGAAACTATTTAGAATTGATGAAGGAAGTCATGTTCATTTCTATGGCATCTGAAAAACAGTACACAGACCAATTTCTTTACTCAAATATTAAGAAAAGTCAAAGGAATGTAGCAAAGGCTCAGTCCGTCTCTATTGTTCTTCAGGATGGAGCTGAGAGCTGGAAAAAGTGGGAGGAGTTGGTCCAACTACTATGGATGTTGTTGCTGAGCTACGAGGAAGTGATGAAAGGTGGGCCACTGAACGATTCACCCATCAAAACAACTTATTGAACATAGTTTACATTGGTCACAGCCTCTTAGGCTTTCCCCTTAGTTTTGTCCTCCTAACCCAGGGGTTCCAAAACTTTTTTGGCCCGCGACCCCATTTTGATATTTAAAAGAATTTGCGACCCCACCATATAAAAAAAAAAGAAAAAAAGTGATGTAATTAACGGCCAATGTTTACTTTTATAATTGTGTCTATGACAGGCTATTACAAATCAGTCTGACAGTAGTTTTAACAGTATTTCAGTGTGAAGGAAGTATGGTTTGAAGTGACTGAAATGCAACAGAAAGGTATTAGGAAGTTCAGAAGATCATCATTGATGTTATTTTTCTCCAGTCTGATTTAGTGCCTGGTCTTGTCCACTCTGTTCTAGTGAGCCTTCTGGGCATTGTAAAGGGAAACAGAAGATACATATGTGTTCCTGAGAGTCTTATCTTTCAGTGATGGGGTCATAAATGTAAAAAAATATATATATATTTTGTTGCTTAAACCGTTCAAAAGATAGAACCACATTTGTAGGAAGAAAACAGAAACCACTCTGTTTATTACAACCGCATCTAGCGGCTACCGGAGGTTACTGACGTTACCCCGGTTCTATGAACCAAGCACGATTTTTCTCTCGCAACCCTATTTTCAAATCGGGCGACCCCTAGTTTGGGAAACCCTGTCCTAACCCATCTGCTCTTTGACCCCTTGAAACCTCTAGGTCACCTGCGCTCTGCAGTCACCGAGCGATGGGGCTACGGTCGCGCTCCGATCCAGACGGTGAATGATTCTTTGTCGCGGTTGGCGGTCCAGGAGGCTATAGAGGCCATCCTGTCCAGAGCCCAGGCTGACCTGGGCCAAGACCTGCCTCCACACGTCCACGAGTCCCTCACCTACCTGCAGGATCACCTGCTGGCCTCCTCGCATTGACGATAAGCTCAGCGCTTGGGTTCAAGCGGCCGTTGATTGATTTCTATTTATTTTTGTAATGATTGATTCATTTTTCAAATTTTCCACCAATTAATTGTTTTAAATAAATATTTATTGTTTTTTAAGTAATGGTCTTTTATCTGTGTTTGCTATGACTTAGTATTGGTGGGACCTGTGTAGACAGTCTGACTGCATCTAAGGCTCTGTTTCTTTTTCCTGCACCATATGAAGTAAGCCAGTAATTCAAGACCCATATGCTGATAGGTTGCATGGTCTCCAGTCAAGCAAAGAAACAAGTGTATGAAGAACGTAGTGTATAGCTCAGCCTACTCCTTCATTAGGGGTTGGATTACAGTGTCCATGATTTGCTCATTACAATGACCAATGAATGGTTCACCTCTTAATAAGCGCAGAGACATGTAATATCATAGCAGTTTGATTAACAGCTGTTTATTCTTGAACACCCTTGGAAGTTGCGCATGGTTCATAAATGTTCAACGTTCTGGTTCAACAGCAGATGTTGCAGTCCCATAAGTGGTGCGGTCCGTCCACGAGCCAGCCAATAGCATCAAGCGTTGTCATCACAGAAGAAAAAAAATTCCTGACAGTCGCCATGATGCTTGTTTTGTCCCTGTGATACAGCAGCGGAAACGAGTGAAGCAAGTAGACACAAAAGAGAGCACGCACACGTTCTCGCGATTTGGTATGCGTTTGCAGGTAAAAATCATCAACGCTGGCGACGAGTTTACTTGGTTGAAACCGATCCACAACTCATGATTCATATTACTACTGCATGGATATTTCTTACCTAGTCATATGAAGTCGGAAAGGTTAGAAAAATGTGGCTAGCTAGCTTTCAGCGAGGGTTTGCTAGCTAGTTAGCCATAACATAAGTGAGTTAGCTAGTTAACGTTAGCTGTTGCTCAGTCAGCCTAGTTAATGTGTTATGATCAGTTATAAAGTAAGTACGCAAACGTTAATATCTTCAGAATTAATTGGTTAGCTAACTATCATTCTCGCGAAGTTATTCGGTATTAATGGCCGTTGGCTAACTTGCTAGCTAGCCCCTAGCTAACATGCTAGGCTATTTAGCTATTGTTTTCCTGACTTGATGGCTTAAACGCGCAACTCAATTAGCTAGTTAGCCAGCCAATTTGTGTTATAGTTAGTTAGTGATGGTTGTTATTGCTTTGTGTGGCCTGGTGTGTAGCAAGCTAATTGGCTAGTTAGTTAACTGAACTGTTATGTCATGACGTGAGTATTATATAAATTCAACTTTATTGAAATCACTCGGTGTTAATCTGTAAAGCAATACATTCCTCAAGACATTGAAACTGACTTATTTCTGCAATTAGTAACTATCGCCAACCAATAATATGGCCACATCTTTCTTGAGCCTCATTTCCAGAAGTTGTCAGAAACTCTAGTGACGCCCTCTTGAAAAGTTAACAAGGATGTTCTGAATGGTCTGTGCATGTTTGTAAAGTAGCACTAGTGAACAGTCATACTTAAAAAATGTCAGTTTTGGGCAATGTATACCTCAATGTGTTTGACATGTATTTTAAAAGTAGATACTGTTCATAGTTACAAAAAAACAAAAACATTTTCTACACAGTGTTACAGCAGGAATGCCCAAAGAAAAATATGACCCGCCAGACCCCAGGCGGATGTACACCATCATGTCAACTGAGGAGGCAGCCAATGGAAAGAAGTCTTACTGGCCTGAGCTGGAAATCACTGGTGAGCATGGCAGGGGGTGGCCTGGAGGCTGTGGGGGGGTAGCTGTTCTCATATTAGGAATCAGCATGTGGGGATGGTCTAGGCCCGTTTTTCTCAACCTTTTTTGTTCAGTGACCAGCATTCTAGTCATCCTTAGAGGATAAGAGCCTCTATGTTATAGGTCTTTATTTTGGCTCGACCAGGTAGACTGAGAAGTCCAGCATGTGTGTTTACTCATGTACTTATGTCCATTCAAATTGGGTAGAAATAAACCTGTATCTGCTTTGCATGGAAAGCCATCACACAGAGAGACATGACTCACCAGTGTATGTTTATCTACCGGTCACCCCCTCCATATCTCTCTCTCTGTCTCCAGGTAATGTCAGGAGCCTGAGTCCGTCTCTGTGGACTCTGACCCACCTCACTGCCCTACACATCGCTGACAACTGTCTGTCACGCATCCCACCCGACATTGCCAAACTACACAACCTGTTGTACCTGGATCTATCGTCCAATAAGATCAGGAGCCTGCCTGCAGAGCTCGGCAACATGGTGTCTCTCAGGTGATTCGCTGGGAACCATGTTTCCCACAATTCACTTTGTTCTAAACTGGGCTTGTAACTGGTTGGTGCCTGAAAGTAACCATTGTCCCATTTTAAAAAGCCTGTTTGGCTCACAGAGGATTTACTTTTGCCTGTATTGATGACTGGTCAATGTGTTCATTGTTTATGGGAAGGTTGAGGAAGGGGCAGTATTGTCAGGGATGCTAGTCTCTGACACCTGCGTTTCCATGTGTCCGTCAACAGGGAACTGCTTTTAAATAACAACCAGTTGCGGGTTCTGCCATTCGAATTGGGGAAACTGTTTCAGTTACAAACACTGGGGTTGAAAGGTGAGTGTGGCTTATCGTCTTGGTAACCATTCTGTCCTGGAGACCCCATTGTTGATCCCGTGGCGTTTATTTGATGTCGTTCAACATTGTAATCGTCACTCCTAACAGGAAACCCACTTGCACAAGAAATCATGAGCCTGTACCAGGAGCATGATGGCACCAGGAAACTGCTCAACTACCTGCTGGACAATCTGGCAGGTTCAATCAAATGCAGTAAGTCACCCTCTCTGCCTCTCACACACCGTTTTTGATATTATAAAAAAGTACCGATGGCTAACATGACAACCCTCCTCTCCCCAGCCCCCACAGAGCAGCCCCCGTCCCGGTCGTGGATCGCACTCCAGGAGCCTGACCAGACGAGGCCTTCTGGTGAGAAACCAGCATACAGTCCCTGTACACACACACAGTAACCCAGCACTTCACACAAAACCACAATTCAATACCAGTGTAAATGAGGGAAAAAATCATTACGGTGAATAAGATGCTATATCCTATTTCTCTCTCCCTGTTCCGCCCTCTCAGCATTGTTCTCTGTAATGTGCTACAACGTGTTGTGTGATAAGTACGCCACACGCCAGCTCTATGGCTACTGCCCCTCCTGGGCCCTCAACTGGGAGTACAGGAAGAAGTCCATCATGCAGGAGATCATGAACTGCAGCGCTGACATCATCAGCCTACAGGTACATGTGTTAACCTCGACCAGGGATAAACAGCTTCTGTCCTATTGGTTTTGGTTTCTCTCTGATCAATTAATGTAACTGATTGCCCTGAGAGTGCGCACACCGGATTTCCCTGGTACATGTGTGCATTCAGTCATATTTGTCCACTTACATGTTATGGATTTTATTGATTTGTTTTCAACAGGAAGTGGAGACAGAGCAGTACTACCAGTACTTCCTGCCAGAGCTGAAGGAGCAGGGCTACGAGGGCTTCTTCAGCCCCAAGTCTCGAGCCAGAACCATGCATGAGTCAGACCGCAAACATGTTGACGGGTGCGCAGTATTCTACAGGACAGAAAAGTGAGTGCAGCTGAGAGGTTCTGTCAAAAAAAAATTTCCCTTTCCACAATGCTCAATAGCTAGGTTTCCAGCCAGTTGGCGAAATATTTTCATGTGAATATTCAAAAATCTGCATAAAAACAATGCACATTTTCCTACCAGATATGTTTCCATCAAATTGACTAGTTGCTGATAAAAGGCTGTGCGTGATAACGTAGTGCACATAAAATACCTTTTGCGTTTTAAATTCCCATGCACCTATTAAAAAATGCAAGTTAAATTGGTTTCCATTGCATTTTCAACTCTGCTGATGGTTTTGTCACATATTGGGTTATATAGCAAATGTGCCCACTCTGGTCTTGACACATGCTCTCTAGCTAACAGCTCGCTACCTACATGATGAGCTTATTATGGATAAGAGCAATAATTTTTATTTGTCAAACTGCAGCTAAGCATCGATCATCATGTCACCAGAATAACACCCTTGATATTTATTGAAAAGGAACATCAAGCTCATCACCGTGTACTTTCACCACCCTGTGAAGTTCATAACTTAATTAATCTGTAGCCTAATAAACTGCATGCTTTTCCGAGTTGTAGTGGGAGGACAACATGTCATCGCCTGACTCAAAGTTTACTTCAATATGATGGTTATCAATATTTGCGCATAAAGGGGTTTCGACTGCCATTTCTCTCATAATTAATTTTAGACACAAATATCCCACCTTGTCCAGCGTGTTTTGTCGACTTCTTGCTCTCTCCTCCCTCTCTCAGGTTCAGCGTGGTGCAGAAACATACGGTGGAGTTTAACCAGCTGGCCATGGCTAACTCTGAGGGCTCTGAGGCCATGCTCAACAGGGTCATGACCAAGGACAACATTGGGGTGGCTGTACTGCTGGAGGTCCGCAAGGAGATGATGGAGGAATCCTGTGAGTACTTATGGCCCTGTCCTATTTCTCACTCTAGCCCCTGCCCATGGCCCTGTCCTATTTCTCACCCTAGACCCTACACCTAGCATCTGCCTCTTCATCTGGTTCTTACTCCTTTGGAGTTCATAAAACTGAAAGGACTGAAAAGTGTAAGTAATATGGGGTAACAATTTTGTAACTAAATGGGGGGGGGGGGTAGTAGTGTCTTTATCCTCGATGCTTAGGAATGGTCTGTCTCCCAAACTGTTTTAAATGTGTACCCAGGGCTGGGTTAATATAGGGGCTTACCAGGGCTGAGGAGAAGAGGTAGGAAGCCCCCGTGTGTAACTGGGGGGCCCTGCCTTGATTGGGTAACTGATTAACCTCTACGGGATCGGTGTCCCGAATACGGGACGGTTGAGCTAACGTGCGCTAATGTGATTAGCATGGCTGTTGTAAGTAACAGAAAACTTTCCAGGACATAGACATGTCTTATATTGGCAGAAAGCTTCAATTCTTGTTAATCTAACAGCACTGTCCAATTTACAGTAGCTATTACAGTGAAAAAATACCATGCTATTGTTTGAGGAGAGTGCACAACAACAAACTTATCAAGGACATGATTTGATACATTCACCTCTGAAGGTAAATAATGTACTTACATTAAGTAATCTTGCTCTGAGTTGTCATCCTGAGGGTCCCAGAGATAAAATGTTGCATAGTTTAGTTTGATAAAATCCATTTTTATATTCAAATGTAGGAACTGGGTTCTACAGTTTGAACCCTTGCGGTCTCTTGCTCCACACCCACCCGGCCATCTAGATGTGTATAAACTCTAATGATCCATCATGTATGACATTCCTGGGAGTGTGTAAACTTACATTTTGTATTACCATATCATTTTTGTATGGTCTCTATAGTTATGTACTTGAAAATGTATCAATTGACCAATTCGGCACATTTGGGGAGACTTGATACGAAATGGTCCAGTATTGCAATGTTTCACAATCTGAAACTTTGCACACACACTGCTGCCTTCTAGTGGCCAAAATCTAAATTGCGCCTAAACTGCAATATTATATACATTTACATTTACATTTTAGTCATTTAGCAGACGCTCTTAACCAGAGCGACTTACAGGAGCAATTAGGGTTAAGTGCCTTGCTCAAGGGCACATTTACGTCATTTAGCAGACGCTCTTATCCAGAGCGACTCACAAATTGGTGCATTTACCCTATAGCCAGTGGGATAACCACTTTACAATTTTTTTTGGGGGGGGGGGTAGAAGGATTACTTTATCCTATCCCAGGTATTCCTTAAAGAGGTGGGGTTTCAAATGTCTCCGGAAGGTGGTGAGTGACTCCGCTGTCCTGGCGTCGTGAGGGAGCTTGTTCCACCATTGCAAGCAACCAACTTCTTGCTATATTGTGGCCTTCCTCTTGCATTTCAAAAATGGAACAAAAATAATGCATGTTTTTTACCAGATCTAATGTGTTTTACTTCTCCTACATTAATTTCACATTTCCACATACTTCAAAGTGTTTCCTTTCAAATGGTATCCAGAATATGCATGTCCTTGCTTCAGGTCCTGAGCTACAGGCAGTTAGATTTGGGTATATCATTTTAGTTGAGAATTGAAAAAAAGGGTTGATCCTTAAGAGGTTAATGAGAGAAATTAACTGCATAAAAAATAATAATCTGGCAGTCCTTATTTGAATGGGTTTGGCCATCTATGGATTTTATTTCTATGGTTGGTTGCTTGCCTTTTACACATTTAAAAATACAACCGCGAGAACGCACAGTTTGGAAAGCAAATGCCTACTGCTGAAGAGAGAAGACTAATCTGTCTGTAAAACCAATCGAAAAAATCTCAACTCCCAATTTATTTTGCGAACAACAGCACTGTTTTTCAAAGTAGCTCATCGGCTATCACCGTGAGTAGCCTATGGCTTCTTCATTAGGTGAGTCAGTGTGCCACTGGACATTTGATTTAGTAGTCTACTGTAGCCTTATATCTTATCTCAAATAGAAATGTAACATGTAAATTGTTGGTCCCATGTTTCTTGAGCTGAAATTATAGATCCCAGAAATGTTCCATATGCACAAAAAGCTTATTTCTCTCAAATGTTGTGCACAAATGTGTATACATCCCTGTTAGTGAGCATTTCTCCATCGCCAAGATAATCCATCCACCTGACAGGTGTGGTTTATCAAGAAGCTGACTAAACAGCATGCTCATTACACAGGTGCACCTTGTGCTGGGGACAAAAGGCCACACTAAAATGTGCAGTTTTTTTCACACAACGCAATTGGCATGCTGACTGCAGGAATGTCCACCAGAGCTGTTACCAGAATTCAATGTTAATCTTTCTACCGTAAGCCGCCTCCAACGTTGTTTTAGAGAATTTGGCAGTACATCCAACCGGCCTCAAAACCACAGACCATGTGTACTCACGCCAGACCAGGACCTCAAAATTCAGGATAGTCTGAGACCAGCCACCTGGACAGCTGATGAATACGGCGTATTTCTGTCTGTAATAAAGCCCTTTTGGGGAAAAACTCATTCTGATTGGCTGGGCCTGGCTCACAAGTGGGTGAGCCTATGGCTGCGCCCCTGCCCACCTGGAATGCATTTCAATTAACAGGTGTGCCTTCTTGAAAGTTAATTTGTGGAATGTATTTCCTCAAAGCGTTTGAGCCCATCAGTTGTGTTGTGACAAGGTAGGGGTTGTATACAGAAGATAGCCCTATTTGGTAAAAGACCAAGTCCATATTATTGCAAGAACGGCTCAAATAAGCAAAGAGAAACGACAGTCCATCATTACTTCAAGACATGAAGGTCAGTCAATATGGGAAATGTAAGAACTTTGATGGTTTTTGCGACTGCACTTGAAGAAACTATCAAGCGCTATGAGGACTGCGACAGGAATGGAAGACCCAGAGTTAACTCTGCTGCGGAGGATCAGTTCATTACAGTTACCAGCCTCAGAAATTGCAGGCCAAATAAATGCTTCAGAGTTCAAGTAACACACATCTCAACATCAACTGTTCAGAGGAGACTGTGTGAATCAGTCTCATGGTCAAATTTCTGCAAAGAAACCACTACTAAAGGACACCGATAATAATAAGAGACTTGCTTGGGCTTTAAACACGAACAATGGAAATTAGACCTGTGGAAATGTGTCCTTTGGTCTGGAGTCCAAATTGGAGATTTTTGGTTCCAACCGCCGTGTCTTTGTGAGAGGTCTACAGTCGTGGTCAAACGTTGAGAATCACACAAGTATTGGTCTTCACAAAGTTTGCTGCTTCAGTGTTTTTAGATATTTTTGTCAGATGTTACTATGGTATACTGAAGTATAATTACAAGCATTCCATAAGTGTCAAAGGCTTTTATTGACAATTACATTAAGTTTATGCAAAGAGTCAATATTTGCAGTGTTGACCCTTCTTTTTCAAGACCTCTGCAATCCGCCTTGGCATGCTGTCAATTAACTTCTGGGCCACATCCTGACTGATGGCAGCCCATTCTTGCATAATCAATGCTTGGAGTTTGTCAGAATTTGTGGGTTTTTGTTTGTCCACCCGCCTCTTGAGGATTGACCACAAGTTCTCAATGGGATTAAGGTCTGGGGAGTTTCCTGGCCATGGACCCAAAATGTTGATGTTTTGTTCCCCGAGCCACTTAGTTGTCACTTTTGCCTTATGGCAAGGTGCTCCATCATGCTGGAAAAGGCATTGGTCGTCACTAAACTGTTCTTGGATGATTGGGAGATGTGTTGGTACCATTCTTTATTCATGGCTGTGTTCTTAGGCAAAATTGTGAGTGAGCCCACTCCCTTGGCTGAGAAGCAACCCCACACATGAATGGTCTAAGGATGCTTTACTGTTGGCATGACACAGGACTGATGGTAGCGCTCACCTTGTCTTCTCTGGACAAGCTTTTTTCCGGATGCCCCAAACAATCGGAAAGGGGATTCATCAGAGAAAATGACTTTACCCCAGTCCTCAGCAGTCCAATCCCTGTACCTTTTGCAGAATGTTTTTCCTGGAGAGATGTGGCTTCCTCGCTGCCCTTCTTGACACCAGGCCATCCTCCAAAAGTCTTCGCCTCACTGTGCGTGCAGATGCACTCACACCTGCCTGCTGCCATTCCTGAGCAAGCTCTGCACTTGTGGTGCCCCGATCCCGCAGCTGAATCAACTTTAGGAGACGGTCCTGGCGCTTGCTGGACTTTCTTGGGTGCCCTGACGCCTTCTTCACAACAATTGAACCTCTCTCCTTGAAGTTCTTGATGATCCGATAAATGGTTGATTTAGGTGCAATCTTACTAGCAGCAATATCCTTGCCTGTGAAGCCCTTTTTGTGCAAAGCAATGATGACAGCACGTGTTTCCTTGCAGGTAACCATGGTTAACAGAGGAAGAACAATGATTTCAAGCACCACCCTCCTTTTAAAGCTTCCAGTCTGTTATTCTAACTCAATCACCATGACAGAGTGATCTCCAGCCTTATCCTCGTCAACACTCTCACCTGTGTTAACGAGAGAATCACTGACATGATGGCAGCTGGTCCTTTTGTGGCAGGGCTGAAATGCAGTGGAAATGTTTTTGGGGATTAAGTTCATTTGCATGGCAAAGAGGGACTTTGCAATTAATTGCAATTCATCTGATCACTCTTCATAACATTCTGGAGTATATGCAAATTGCCATCAGTGCTCAGCTATTTTCAGGTCTCACCAGAGATGTTGGATTGGGTTCAAGTCCGGGCTCTGGCTGTGCAACTCAAGGACATTCAGAGACTTACATTTACATTTACATTTACATTTTAGTCATTTAGCAGACGCTCTTAACCAGAGCGACTTACAGGAGCAATTAGGGTTAAGTGCCTTGCTCAAGGGCACATTAACGTCATTTAGCAGACGCTCTTAGCCAGAGCGACTCACAAATTGGTGCGTTCACCCTATAGCCAGTGGGATAACCACTTTACAATTTGGGGGGGGGGGGGGGGGGGTTAGAAGGAATACTTTAGCCTATCCCAGGTATTCCTTAAAGAGGTGGGGTTTCAAATGTCTCCGGAAGGTGGTGAGTGACTCCGCTGTCCTGGCGTCGTGAGGGAGCTTGTTCCACCATTGGGGTGCCAGAGCAGCGAACAGTTTTGACTGGGCTGAGGGGGAGCTGTGCTTCCGCAGAGGAAGGGGAGCCAGCAGGCCAGAGGTGGATGAACGCAATGTCCTCGTTTGGGTGTAGGGACTGATCAGAGCCTGAAGGTACAGGGGTGCCGTTCCCCTCACTGCTCCAAAGGCAAGCACCATGGTCTTGTAGCGGATGCGAGCTTCAATTGGAAGCCAGTGGAGTGTGCGGAGGAGGGGGGTGACGTGAGAGAACTTGGGAAGGTTGAACACCAGACGGGCTGCGGCATTCTGGATGAGTTGTAGGGGTTTAATGGCACAGGCAGGGAGCCCAGCCAACAGCGAGTTGCAGTAGTCCAGACGGGAGATGACAAGTGCCTGGACCAGGACCTGCGCCGCTTCCTGTGTAAGGCAGGGTCGCACTCTCCGAATGTTGTAGAGCATGAACCTGCAGGAGCGGGTCACCGCCTTGATGTTGGCGGAGAACGACAGGGTGTTGTCCAGGGTCACGCCTAGGCTCTTCGCACTCTGGGAGGAGGACACAGCGGAGTTGTCTACCGTGATGGCGAGATCATGGAACGGGCAGTCCTTCCCGGGGAGGAAGAGCAGCTCCGTCTTGCCAGGGTTCAGCTTGAGGTGGTGATCCGTCATCCATACTGATATGTCTGCCAGACATGCAGAGATGCGATTCGCCACCTGGTGATCAGAAGGGGGAAAGGAGAAGATTAGTTGTGTATCGTCAGCGTAGCAATGATAGGAAAGGCCATGTGAGGATATGACAGAGCCAAGTGACTTGGTGTATAGGGAGAAAAGGAGAGGGCCCAAAACCGATCCCTGGGGGACACCAGTGGTGAGAGCACGTGGTGCGGAGACAGCTTCCCGCCACGCCACTTGGTAGGAGCGACCGGTCAGGTAGGACGCAATCCAGGAGTGAGCCGCGCCGGAGATGCCCATTTCGGAGAGGGTGGAGAGGAGGATCTGATGGTTCACAGTATCAAAGGCAGCAGACAGATCTAGAAGGACAAGAGCAGAGGAGAGAGAGTTAGCTTTAGCAGTGCGGAGAGTCTCTGTGACACAGAGAAGAGCAGTCTCAGTTGAATGACCAGTCCTGAAACCTGATTGGTTTGGATCAAGAAGGTCATTCTGAGAGAGATAGCAAGAGAGTTGGCTAAAGACGGCACGCTCAATAGTTTTGGAAAGAAAAGAAAGAAGGGATACTGGTCTGTAGTTGTTGACATCAGTGGGGTCGAGTGTTGGTTTTTTGAGAAGGGGAGTAACTCTCGCTCTCTTGAAGACGGAAGGGACATGGCCAGCGGTCAAGGATGAGTTGATCAGCGAGGTGAGGTAGGGGAGAAGGTCACCGGAGATGGTCTGGAGAAGGGAGGAGGACTTGTCCCGAAGCCACTCATGCATTGTCTTGACTGTGTGCTTAGGGTTGTTGTTTCGCCCGAGTCTGAGGTCCTGAGCACTCTGGAGCAGGTTTTCATCAAGGATCTCTCTGTACTTTCTCCTTTCATCTTTGCCTTGATCCTGCCTAGTCTCCCAGTCCCTGCCACTGAAAAACATCCCCACAGCATGATTCTGCCACCACCATGCTTCACCGTAGGGATGGTGCCAGGTTTCCTCCAGACGTGACACTTGGCATTCAGGCTAAAGATTTCAATCTTGGTTTCGTTAGACCAGAGAATCTTGTTTCTCATGGTCAGAGTCCTTTTGGCAAACTACAAGCGGGCTGTTGTGCCTTTTACTGAGTGGCTTCTGTCTGGCCACTCTACCATAAAGGCCTGATTGGTGGAGTGCTGTAGAGATGGTTGTCCTTCTGGAAGGTTCTTCTATCTCTACAGAGGAGCTCTGTCAAGAGTGACCATCGGGCTCTTGGTCACCTCCCTGACCAAGGCCCTTCTCCCCCGATTGCTCAGTTTGGCCAGGCGGCCAGCTCTAGGGAGAGTCTTGGTGGTTCCAAACGTCTTCCATTTAAGAATGATGGAGGCCACTGTGTTCTTGGGGACCTTCAATGCTGCAGAAATGTTTTGGTACCCTTCCCCAGATCTGTGCCTCGACACAATCCTGTCACGAAGCTCTACAGACAATTCCTTCAACCTCATGGCTTGGTTTTTGCTCTGACATGCACTGTCAACTGTGGGACCATATAGACCTTATACATGTCCATTCAATTGAATTTACCACAGGTGGACTCCCAAGTTGCAGAAACAGCTCAATGAGGATCAATGGAAACAGGATGCACCTGAGCTCAATTTTGAGTCTCATAGCAAAGTGTCTGAATAAGGTTTTTTAAATGTATTTTTTAAAATAAATTTGCAAACATTTCAACCTGTTTTCGCTTTGTCATTATGGGGTATTGTGTGTAGATTGAGGATTTTTTTTCTCTTAAAAATAATAAGGCTGTAATGTAACAAAGTGGAAAAAGTCAAGGGGTGTGAATACTTTCCAAATTCACTATGTATATATTTTTGATTGTACAATCTGTTGCTTCATTGGCCTGGGCTATTGTTTGTTTGAATTCAAGACCAGATTGATCTGTTTGTCAGTGTCCGAGTAGCCAAAGCCCCAGGGCCCTGTGTGTTCCACAACTCCTTTTTACTTAAATCCTAGAACTTCAAAAGGGGAGCGACTGCTGCTGCACTTCTCTGGCTAGAGGTTCCCTTGGCTGTGCTCTGCCTTTAAAGTAACCCTCAAACTTCTTTCTCTCCCTCCATCTCTCCTCTCTAGCGGGGAAGTCTCTGCACGGCATGGAAAAACAGCTCCTACTGGTGGCCAACGCTCACATGCACTGGGACCCGGAGTACTCCGACGTCAAGCTGGTCCAGACCATGATGTTCCTGTCTGAGGTGAAGAACATCGTGGACAAGGCCACGCGCAGCCTCAAACTCTCCTCTGTCTCTGGGGAGACCAACAGCATCCCTCTAGTGCTTTGTGCCGACCTCAACTCTCTACCAGACTCTGGTGAGTGACTGTGGTGGAAAGGAAGCGAAAGGTATAAGCAAGCAGTGTAGTGATGGGCCCACTAGCTGCCTGGTAGGTGACGGTTACTGTGAATGAAGGAATGAATAGACACTTGACCACCATGGTTGTGTTCAGTAGGGCAATGGGGAATGAACATCTGTCTTATTGGATGTTTAGATGGCTAATTCCCCTATTTTGAACAGGACAATGTAAACCCCTACCGTCTATCCCCCCCCCCCCAGGTGTGGTGGAGTATTTGAGTCAAGGTGGAGTGGACTGCACCCACAAGGACTTCAAGGAGCTGCGCTACCTCGACAGCCTCACCAACTTCAACTGCAACGGCAAGAACGGCAACTCCACATCCAATTCCAGGATCACCCACGGCTTCAAGCTGAAGAGCGCCTACGAGGACAGCCTGATGCCTTACACCAACTACACCTTTGACTTCAAGGTGAGGGAGGCGCGTGCCTACAGGCAAATCTGAGGCCTTCTGACAGTATTACAGGTTACTTTGATCTTGTCCTGATTGATCAGGAATTCCTGTTTTTCCGACATTGAAATTGACCTAACCCCCACTGTTGTCGGCGGTCTTTACTGCAACGTACACCTGCGTTGTGAAGGTTTAATCTAATCTGACATTGTGTGCAATAAAATAATAGACTGCTTTTGGCCAATAAAAATACAAAATACAACAACATTGCTGGACAATGTCTGGCAGAACATATCCTGATGAAAATGTATTCTGTAAATCACATTCCATGGAGGTTGGTGCATGTTGTCTTTCAATTGCATCATCTCTGTAGCCTACTCAGTCTCCCCTGCCGGCCTGTTTTGAGGTCAAACTTGCAACATTGAATCCACTGGTACCGGCCCGCACCAGTGAGGTTGACAGACACGGCTGTATGCCTGCAGGGAGAAGTGTTCCGGTATTTTATGACGTTGTACAGAAATGTCATATCAGTCCATTAAGGAAGAGTATAATTTATCTTTCTCTCTTTTCCTGTCATCGAATGCCTGCGGGTGCGTTCAGAAAGGAAATAGTTTGCTAATGATGGTTTAGTATGAAGATGTGTAGAAACTGCTTCTCCAATAAAAATCCCCGATCACACTTGTAGGCGATGTCATGGCGATGTTGGCTAGCTAAATTCATGCGCAGTAACACGTCATCGTGTCTAATGGTCATCTCTGGCAGAGCTGCACATGTGCAGGCCATCAAATCAAAGGCACTCCTTCCGTATAAAGGTGTTTTGACGAATGGTAATGCGTCAGTTTGTCACTTTCACAAGGTTGGACAAATAACATGTTCAACTAAAGACATTGGCTCCAAATGGACAACCTAAGGAATACTTTTTCAGCTCATTGACTGGTCTGTCGAGTCGCAAGCGTTCCCGGAAGTATTGCGCTGTTGGCCCGCTGGGTTTAGAAACTCTGTGCTGACATACTAAGGTTAGCAAACAGTCTGAGATGGTAGTGTGCGGTGAACGTGAGTCTGTTTGGGGTCTAAACTGCCAGTACAAATCATGTTGGACATGTAGGCTTTCTGTTACATGTAGTAGGAGTAGCAGTTTGTCCTTTGGATTATTGATTATCATTCCTGCTTGTATAGATCAATATTCATTGCAGTCACTACCAGGCCTCCTGTAGCTCAGTTGGTAGAGCATGGTGCTTGCAATGCCAGGGTTGTGGGTTCGATTCCCACGGGGGGCCAGAATGAAAAATGTATGCACTCACTAACTGTAAGTCGCTCTGGATAAGAATGTCTGCTAAATGACTAAAATGTAATGTTATCTGGGCACTCCTAAAACAGCATTAGTCACATGATTGGATTTATTTGGGTTTCTGTTAGATATGGCCAGTAAATCTCTATGGTGTCTGACAATTGACTGGCACACATTTTCCCTAAAGGAAATGCTGCTCCTCACTCATCCCCCTCTTCTGTCTCCTCAGGGTGTGATTGACTACATCTTCTACTCCAAGCCTCAGCTCAACGTGTTGGGCATCCTGGGTCCACTGGACTCCAACTGGCTCCATGAGAACAATATCAGCGGCTGTCCGCACCCCCACATCCCCTCTGACCACTTCTCCCTGTTCACCCAGCTGGAGCTGCTGCTGCCCAGCACCCTGCCCCATGGGCAGGTCAACAACCAGGTCAACGGCATCCACCTGCCTGGAGGCCGCAGGTAGTGGTGAGGCACCACCAGGGTGCGCTGTGGTCTGGTCTTCAGCCTCTCCCCTCATCTTCAATCTGAGGGAGGAAGACAACAGGCACCATCCTGTAAAATAAGAATCAGCCATACAGTGAGGTCTGGCCGACAGGGATTTCTGTTATTATAGATATATATTTTTATTTTCCTCATTGTCGTTTTGATTTTGATAATGCTAAAGTAAATCCTGTCTGTCCATTATATTATCTTGTGTTTTGGATCCCCCTCCCCTGTCATTCTTACCCATAATGCTTTTGTAACTCTTTAACAGATAGAAAGGATGGTAGCATCCAATATCACAATATCCCCTTGGCCCATTATAGATATTTTGAGATTTACTTTTAGCAATACCACCAGACTCTTGTTGTCTTTGACATGACCTGTGCAGTCTTGAACGATGACACAAGAAAAACCCTGTATCACTTGAGAGCTGGACACACTTAATGATGCAAGGAGAGAAAGGACACCACTTCTAAAGCTCCCAGCTGATGGTCTGTCCTATACCAATCTCAAACCAGCAAAAACGGCATTAGACCGGTCTGTCTGACTCACCCTACCAGCCAAGGCTCGGGGTGGTCCTTCGCTTTTCTCTCTCCCCTGGGCTCAATGTGATGGTGCTTAGATATCTATGGTAGATATCTACCATATAGCATCCCGTAGGAGAGAGTAGCGCTCCTCCTCTGTGCTACAGGGCCCATCTCTGTGGGTCCAAGACTGTGGTGCTCACCTGGTGCTACCAGTCCACTGCGTTGACTAATAGAACTGTCTGTTGTCTCCCTGTCCAAGTGGTGCAATTGAAACCAACCCCACTGGTGCATTAAGACTGCCACTGCTGAGGTTTTTAGACGTATTGTTATCCTTTAGGACTACTGCAACCACCAAATACACTTGTCTGGACCCACGTGTGGCAAGCTTAGCTCTAGGCTTGCCGGTCAGGCATAGTGCTAGAAACATCTGGGTTCTCTGGACTGAAACCAAATGTAATTATTTTTAGTTGCATAACATGTTAGTGGCCATCCCCTTTTGCACACTGTTACCTCCTGTATGCGTACGCGACAGTCGTGAACTTTGTCTTGTTAATGACTTCATTTGGACCAGTTACCACCTTTCGTAATAGGGAATGGGGTTTTGGCTGAGGGGCAAGGCAATATGTGGGGGGGGGAGAATTTTTCAACTTTATTTTTTCACATAGTTTGATGCTTTTTAAGCAGAGGGTTTACAGGAATTTAAACCAGCAATCCTCTCACAGTCTGACACACACATCTTGTAGCACTGTCTCTTGAGGCCAGTAGTGACTTCCCCCAGCCATAAATTCCGTACTCTACAGCAGTGTTTTTTTTTTCACAAGTGTTTGTACAGAATATAAATGTAGATTCAGTCTTTACATGATTGTATATGAGCCACTAAAGACCTGTTTTCTGGCGGTTTTTGTACTTCGAGTAAATTATGATCCAATTTGAGGAAAAGACAGGATTGTATTGTAAACTATGACTAAATTTTTATCCAGGAAATGTTAAGATGAATTCAAATTACCAGCTTGTACAAAAGACGTGAGGGGTTGTTCCGTGCGTTCGCTGCCGCTACTTAGCACTCCCGCCCTAGGTTAACTGTCAATATTGATCGTTTTCCTACTGTCGTTCATGATTGAGACCATGTTGCTCAGATTGTAAATAGATCTACTGACTGACTAAACCTCCTGATGCTTCTCACCCAGTCTATTAACAAGCCAGCCTGCCACCAACCCAACCTACCATTCATCCATTCACAGTTCAGGCCAAAGTAAGACCAGGGTCCGTATCCACAAAGCCTCATAGTAGGAGTGCTGATCTAGGATCTGTCCATATGTTATTCATTTCCATCTATAAGGCAAAACTGATCCTAGATCAGCCCTCTTGCACTGAGATACTTTGTGGATACCGGCCCAGGTCTCCAAAAACACCTTATTCCCTTCAGTGCACTGCTTTTGACCAGTCCTATGTGGCTCTGGGCAAGAGTGCATTACATGGGAATTAAGGTGTCATTTCAGAGTTCTCCTAAGTGATTATTTACATTTTTACATTTTAGTCATTTAGCACCTCAACTATCCCATAATTCCAGTGTTGTACAACCGCAACATTGTGCCTCACCATCGCAGGTTGTCGTCTTGCACTATTTACAATCGGTGAACGCCGGAGCAACCTCTTCTGTTTATTTTTAAATACTGTCGAGACATTTGTGAAAATTTTATGTCCTTTTGGTTTGTTATGTTTGGGATTTTCTTTTTTTGTATGAGCTGTGTTATGATGTGTGTATATACCTCCTTGGTGAGCGATCTAGTAATCAGGTATGGAATATTTGTTGAGATTGAGTTTTTTTTTTTTTTGGGGGGGGGGGCAAACTAAGACCTCTTGTAAACCCCCTCAGTTCCATAATGTTTTGCACCCTCCTTGTACTCTAGCCCTGAGCCTCTCTCTTGACCCTGCCCCGGCCTCCACCGCTGATCTGAATTCTGAATCTACAAAAGCATGTTCCCCTATAAACCCCCAGCCCCATGTCTTACCCCCTAAACACAACAGTCAAGTGTATTACTTTAGTCCTGTCTTTTTAACCCCTCTACTGAAGCCTCTGTATGGTTCCATCCACTCTGATACCATCTGTAGGGCAGCCTGTGAGGTGGCCCACACAGACAGACATGTTGCTATTATCTATCCCTGTTTTGTTACCGCCGGGACCAAAACATGAAATATGTCAATGGTGGGTGACTGTTGCAACTGTTTTTTTAACAGGAAATGTAATGATGCACACTTATGATAGTTTCCCCTTCTATCCCACAATTATTTGTCAATGAAATAAAATATGATCGCCTTTTAAAGTAAATTTGATACTTAAGCCACCGTGCTAAAGTTAGAATTTTATGTATTTTTACAGAGGGGAAAAGGTTGAAATAGGAAATATAAATGTGTCCTTGTTTAAAAGCTTTTTTCTGTCCCTACTTTCCCCCCTTGATATGTTGTTTTATTTGTTTTGAACAGAAACCAATGTGTCTGGTTTGATACCCCTGAATTGCTGATAGTATTGTAGTAGATTTAAAGACTTAGCTTTTTTGTAAAGTGTGAATAAAATATGTATCATGTTTCCTTTCTAAAATGTTGAATTGTGTTTTTAATGTGTATATTCTACGATTGCTACATTGTTTTCACTTTTACTCATTGCTTTTCCATACCTCCTCCAACCTCCAACAACCAAATTATTCTCTTTTTGGTAGATTTCTTTTTTTTTGGACAAATACTGTAGACTTGGTCGACTTTGAGTCGCTCTAAAACTGGATTCAGAATGCTTATTGAAGGAAAAATTCCTAAGAGTAATATACCTTTCCAAATGTGAATATTGAGAAAAAAATATTCCCCCGCTTCTTTTTTGGGATTGTCGCTTAGGCTATTGTCTTAGACCAGGGTAGCCTTTCTTGTCTTACTAGCCGATGATTCAGTTGTAGACCGCACTATTGTTGACTGGTGTGAAACGAGTGTAAAACTAAGCTAAAGACGTTGTGCTGGTAGATGGACTGGTCCTGTGATGAGAGTACTATTTGGTCCAGCTCACTGTGTTCTTGTTTCACAGTGGTTAAACGTAGTAGTTCGCCAAGCCTCCTAACCCTCACTTAGTGAACTCCCAGCATTGGTTTCTATGACTGGAGAAAGTAGGGGGAAGAACACAGCTTGATGTCTCCATGAGCTTTGGTTAGTTAGTGATCACTCTAGAACGCTGTACTGTTTTTACTGTTGGCTTCTTGGTGTTGTATAGGACTCTGACTGTGCTTCCTGTCTAGGTGTTTTTACTGTTTGCTTCTAGGTGTTGTATAGGACTCTTACTGTGCTTCCTGTCTAGGTGCACACCAAAGCTGCTTTCCCTGTCAAATGTAAAGCACCCTATTTAACCTTCTATACAGTACATCCAAATACCACTGGCATGACTTGTAGGGCTGTAAGGAAAGGAAGTACTTCCCTTAAACAACATGACCGTTGCATTTGTCCATGTCAAAATGAGTTTGGCTTTCAATAGTCCTAATTTCAGACAGGTCATTTCCATTTCCCAGAAAGTTGGCAATAATACCCCAGAAAGTCATTAAGAAAATGTTTTATCTGGGAACGTACCTAATACCTTTTTGTCACCCATTTTTCAACTACTTTTCCTGTTAAACCGAGGGCAATTTCCGCTGATTCCTTCCACCTCACTAACCAGCACCCCATTCCAGTATTTTCTCTCTCCATCTTGTATATTTATGCTTCACCCTCCTCCCTGCCGATAGTGGTGGTAGTTTGATGGTCAGGATTGTCAATCCGTAGCTAGCAGAGTAGTACATACACTGTACATACACACTGGACCAACTACTTGTTTACCATTCATGGAATACCAGCAAAAAACACTGGCACAATGTTCAAAGAATGTTCAAAAGAGATAATAAAATCAAGGCAGCTGTTTTTAAACAACACATTTAAGCGACTGAATGGTAAACAAGGTTTTTTTTCTGTATTCTTTACCGTTCTTTGTTTGACTGTCTTTTGACTATTTTCTGTTTAACACATTTGGCTTGTTTTCTTTGCTCCTACCTACCTATGTATTTTCCTACTTCTGGTTGAAAATAAATTCTAACACTGTTTGAATCTGTCTCCCTCTGATTCTTTGCAGTGGATCTTACATAATATTGTTCCCTGATGTATTATATCTATCTACCGGTTTTATTATTCAATAGGTAGAAGACTGACTCCAGTGACAGAAGATTGTTGCAGCCTGATGTCCCAAGTGTGTTGAAGACCACTAAGCAGATATTATTTTTACGACCACAAGGTGGCGCTTTAAGATCACCAAAACACAGTTGTACTGAGAGTTGTATAAGGATGATGTGGGTTGAACACAGACCTGTTGTGGTACATTTACATGCTGTAGGGGTATTCAGTGAACATATACTGTAAAACGTATGTACTGCAGTACAATCCAACATAC